TTGTCATGGTTAAACTTCATGAGGTTGGCATCACCCCACCTCACAAGCATGTCAAGGTCCCTCTGGATGGCATTCCTTCCCTCCAGCATTATCAACCGAACCACAGAGCTTGGTGTCATCAGCAAACTTGCTGAGGGCGCACTCAATCCCACTGTCCATGTCACCGACAAAGACGTTGAACAAGACTGTTCCCAACACCGATCCCTGAAGGACACCGCTCGTTACTGGTCTCCAGGCGGACACTGAGCCATTGACCACAACTCTTTGTGTGCAGCCATCCAGCCAGTTCTTTATCCACCGAGTGGTCCATCCATCAAATTGATGTCTCTCCAATTTTGAGACAAGGATGTCTTGTGGGACAGTGTCAAACGCTTTGCAAAAGTCCAGGTAGATGTCATCAGCTGCTCTACCCCTGTCCATCAGTTCCGTAGCCCCATCATAGAAGGCCACCAAACAGTTCAGGCAGGATTTCCCCTTAGTGAAGCCATGCTGGCTGTCACCAAGCACCTTGTTGTTTTTCATGTGCCTTAGCATGTCTTCCAGGAGAATCTGCTCCAAGATTTTGCCAGGCACAGAGGTGAGACTGACTGGTCTGTAATTCCCCAGGTCATCCATTTTCCCCTTCTTGAAAATGGGGGTTATATTTCCCTTTTTCCAGTCATTGGGAACTTCACCTGACTGCCATGATTTCTCAAATATGATGGCCAGTGGCTTCGCAACTTCATTTGCCAGCTCCTTCAGGTCCCGCAGATGGATTTCATCAGGAAATGTTCTTAAAATGGTCTCGGACTGGATCCTCTCCTACAGTGGACCCAAGGTTTTCATTCTCACAGTCCCTGCGTCTGCCTTCCAAGACTTGGGTGGTGTGGTCAGAGCATTTCCCAGTGAAGACTTGAGGTAAAAAAACACCATTAAGAACCTCAGCCTTCTCCAAATCCCGTGTACCCAGTACTCCCCAGAGCTTCTGGAGAGGGCCTGTGTTGTTCCTAGACTGTCTTTTATTTGCAATGTACCTATAGAATCCCTTCCTGTTATCTTTCACATCCCTAGCCAAGTTTAATTCTAACTGGGCCTTAGCTTTCCTAACCTGGTCCCTAGCTTCCCAGAGAACATCACTGTATTCTTCTCAGGCTGCCTGTCCTGGCTGCCACCTTTTATAAGCCTCTTTTTTTCCTTCAAATTTTCCTCAGGAGCTCCTTATTCATCCAAGGAGGTCTCCTGGCCCTCCTGCTGGGCTTCCTTCTAGTTGGGATGCAACACTCCTGAGCCTGTAGCTGGTGATCCTTGAATATCAACCAATGGTCTTGTGCCCCCCTGCCCTCTAGGGCTATATCCCATGAAATCTTACTAAGTGGGTTCCTGAAGAGGCCAGAGTTTGCTCTTCTGAAGCCCAGGGCAGTGAGCTTGCTGCACGCTCTTCTCACTGTCCTGAGGATCTCAAATTCGAGCATCTCATGATTGCGGCATCCAAGGCTGCCCTGGAGCATCACATTTCTAATGAGCCCTTCCCTGTTGGCGAGCACAAGGTCAAGCATGGCACCTCTCCTTGTCGGCTCCTCTATTACTTGCAGAAGGAAGTTGTCTTCCACACAATGGAGGAACCTCCTGGATTGCTTGTGCCGGGCCGTACCGTCCTTCCAACAGATGTCAGGGTGGTTGAAATCACCCATGAGAACAAGGGCCTGTGAGCGTGAGGCTTTTCCCATCTGCCTATAGAGTGCTTCATCCACAGATTCCTCTTGATCAGGCGGTCTGTTACAGATTCCCACAGTAATGTCTCCCATAGCTATTTTCCCTTTAACCCTGACCCACAAACTCTCTGTTAACTGATCACCTGTCCCCAGACAGAGTTCCATACTCTCCAGCCTATCCCCAACATTAAGGGCAACTCCCCCTCCCCCTCTGCCGGGCCTCTCTTTTCTAAAGAGCCTGTAACCTTCCATTCCAACACTCAAGCAAACAAACAAGCAAACAGGCACATACTCTTGAAAGTGATGAGTCCCATTGTACACACACAGGTGAACGCTAATATTACAGGGTCACAACAGGGATATTTTTATTAAACAAATAAAAACCTCCCAAACTTAGCTTAAACAAGCCAAACTGTGGCTGGACCTTTTTCTGATGCCCTCCACCACTTCCCTGGCACTGTTATTATGAATCTTCATGTTCTTGAAGAGACAAAGCATAGGTAAAGACAAAGCAGGCATTCCACTGTTAAAGTGTTTTTCTTTTTTTTCCCCTTTACTATTGTCTCACAGTAATAATTCCTTTTTGCAAGTTATTATGTAGTTCATCTGCCAATAATTGTTCTTAGTTACCAATTCTTAATTTGCCTTTGTTTTACATGGAAAGACAGTCAGAATTTTCTCCTCTTTTCTGTTTACTCCAGACTCCAGCAGAGTTGGATTTATGATTTTTTTTTTCAAACATTAATAATGAAATTCCAAATCCTCTATGCGTAAGCTAATCAGAAAATACTAAAAAAAAAAAAACCAAACCCAAAAATGTACAGTTACATTATCCAGACTTACAAGCTGTGGAGCCAAACAAGTTACATAATAATATTAAGATTCACAATAATAAGAGTAGAATATTCCAAACTCAGATACTGCCAAAAGTGCTGCCTAATGTTCTAACCCGTTTCCCTCCATCAGCTCAGTGCTAATGACACTCACTAATGTCACCTGGAACTACACTCTGCTTTCCAGCTGTACCCCCTTGTGCTTGTTAGTGGTGCTCCAGCTCATTAACTATGAGGAAATAGCTGGCACTCCTTTAAAATCTTAAAACTGGTAGAAATGCATTAGAGATAATATACCTCTTTCTAGCACTAGAGGACCATGACAGTGAGCAAACATTTTTGTCATCTGAAAACATGTTTTTATTTTACACCTAACTTCATTAACAGCAATTCTCATGTGTCTTGCAGTTGTAATCCATCAATTTCAAAATCCTTTATAAGAAAAACACATATTTATTTCCAAAGATGTTGGCTACCTTAAGACACACCAAAAGTGCTTTTGCAAGTGACCACTTCAAAATCAGGACTCATCCGCACCTAGAATTGCCTGGGGTATTATGTGACTAATCACAGGCTGCTCCCAGCTGCCTTCATAGGTGCTTGGTAGGCAAGGGGGTAATTACGGCTTCCTAATTAAGAAGTGCCTTGCAGAGCTAGGTTTTGGATGCTGCCCATGGGGTTTTGCTTCTGCTTTGCAACTAGGACAACAGGTTCAATGTTTTTAAATCACTTCACCTTGTTTCTCAGTGTTTTTTCTTGCTTTATTGGTTTATTTTTTTTCCAAGTGACTGTTATGGTCCTGGGTACTCATGCTGAGGTGAATGAGTTGGGTTTGATACTCGGGAGAGGTTTCAAGAGTGGTAGTAGAAGCTATTACAAGAGGGATTTAGCTTTGTATGCAGCTATGGAAGACCAGAAGTGAGCGTTTGGTTTAAGTGTAAAATGTATTTGCCTTTAAGAATGGTTTGCATTAGATGCAGTGAGTGGCTGACAAGTCAGGCAGGCACAAGAGCTCTTTTTGTAAGGTAGTAATAGAAAATTGAGATAAAAGTAGTTAACTGTGATCGTGAAGTAACAGTGATTGTCTGTGGCTGCTTAGGTCTTTTGGTTTTAATCTATTCTACTTTTATTTCTAAAAAGTAATTTTCTTTTTCTCCCAGTTCTGACAGGAGAGGGTCAGAAAAAGAAAAAGCTTCTTTTTCTTTCCTGCCGCTCTAGCTCCCATTTCTCATTAAATGTTACCTGCTCCTTTTTTTTTTTTTTTTTTTTTTTTTTTTCTCTTCAGGAATCGGCATAGTAAGAAACAGGGAGGAGCCCTGCCACCTGCAATGTAGCTAAAAATGTAGCAACAGCCAATGCTAGCACTCCCCTTTTTAAGGATTGGAGTGTTTTACGTTTACAGATGTTAGGACTAAAAAGTAAAGTGACTTTTACAGTTGCAAGCTATCATAGTTATCTAGAATTACACATCTAATCAGATGTGTTATCTGAGCTTACTGTAGAACTATCTCATTTCACAAGCTCTCATCCACTTCCACATGAGCAGTGAACTTTGCCTCATTGTCACCCGTCTGTATTGTGAAGTTTCACTCCTAAATGGAGTATCTCACTAGGACTTGCAAAATGGCTTTGAAGAATTAATCAAAGGAGCATCCCTGGAAACAGCAAAGACTGTATATTTTGATTGAAATAAGGTATTTGATAGTGAGCTGTAGGAAGATATATGTGGTAGTTCTGTAATATCAGACTGGAAGACTTTGGTTTCATATTTTAGAGGTGAGGCTGTTGGTTTGGTTTTGTTTTTCTTTTATTTTTTTCCTTGCTCTCATGATATTCACTAGTCTCATTAATAACATAGCTGATAGAACAGGAAGTATTAGTTAATGAAGTCAAGAGATTATGCTCAGTGTAGAAAGTTGTAATTGTTTGGAGATTCAAGAAAAAGTAGTCAGTAAATAGTATTAAATTATTCTCTCTATCTATCTGGCTCTAGAAAAGTCAGAGGTTGTGTAGCCTGGAAGTGTTTTTTTTTGACAGTGGGGTCTGCACCTTCACCCCTATCTTGAAGTGTAGAATAAGATATTGGTGGTTTTTTTACAAAATATGGCTTGTGGGAGTGTGCATCTGAGAGTACCTGAGTTTTAGGTCTTGAAATGCATATTATGTAACAATTACTTTTCTTCGCTTGTACAGTAACATCCACTGGAGGTGGGAGTAGAATCTGTTTCCCTAAAGTATTTGCATTTGAATATTTAGTCTGACTCTTCCCCCTCTTCCATCAACAAACCCACAACTTTTAAGCTTGACACAGATTTTCTAGGAAGATACAGAACTGTTGCTGGAAATAGTGGTATAAACTGTTATCTGGGATGATTTATAGCTGATAAATCTTACCACTGGGAAGATGACGGTATAGATGGGGATGGGTCATTAGCAAGTGTACCTAAATATTGTACTTCTCTTGGGGGGGGGGTGTGTCTGATGATGTCAGCATTCCCTACCTGTGTTGTATGGATGTGGTCATTAGCAGCCCCTTTCCACCCTGAGAGGGAGAGCGGAGCAATGGGAGGTGGGTTGAAGTAGCGTCCTCTTCATCATGATAACGGGGCAGCTGCTAGGTTATGTGCTTGGAGGCTGAGGTAGAAAAGCTCTTGTGGCTGCAAACTGGCATTTGTGTAATCATATCAACATAAGTGAAACTATTTCAGTTGACCTGAGTGTATGAGGTCAAGTGGTGTTAAATGTACAGGCTGTAGAAAGGGTGAGAGAGCAGTTCCCAAAACTAAAGTATGGTTCCAAAATTTTGATGGCTTAGTTGCTAGAACTCAGGCAATAGATCCATTAACTCCTCAGAACTTAACATGAGCCAGCAGTATGCGCTCGCAGCCCAGAAAGCCAACCGTATCCTGGGCTGCATCAAAAGGAGCATGACCAGCAGGTCGAAGGAGGTGATCCTGCCCTTCTACTCCGCTCTTGTGAGACCTCACCTGGAGTATTGTGTGCAGTTCTGGTGTCCTCAACATGAAAAGGACATGGAACTTCGGAACAAGTCCAGAGGAGCGCCACAAGGATGATCAGGGGATTGGAGCATCTCCCGTATGAAGACAGGCTGAGAAAGTTAGGGCTGCTCAGGTTGGAGAAGAGAAGGCTGCGTGGAGACCTCATAGCAGCCTTACAGTATCTGAAGGGGAGCTATAAGAATGCTGGGGAGGGACTCTTCATTAGGGACTGTAGTGACAGGACAAGGGGTAATGGGTTAAAACTTAAACAGGGGAAGTTTAGGTTGGATATAAGGAGGAAATTCTTTACTGTGAGGGTGTTGAGGCACTGGAATGGGTTGCCCAGGGAAGTTGTGAATCCTCCATCCCTGGCAGTGTTCAAGGCCAGGTTGGACAGAGCCTTTGGTGTCGTTGTTTAGTGTGAGGTGTCCCTGCCCATGGCAGGGGGTTGGAACTAGATGGTCTTAAGGTCCTTTCAAACTCTTAGGGATACAGTGTCACTTGCTAAATATAGACTTAGGAGCACAGAGCTGTAGCAATAGTTCCAAGCACTGAGAAAACTTAAAATACATCTGTAACCAAAGTATTCTTTTTATTTTTTTTTTTGGGGGGGGGGGGTGGGGAAGTTGGTTTTGTTTTTATTTTGGGTTAACTAGGGGAAAATAACAGATGAATGGATGATCCCCGGATGCTTTTATTATGCTTGGGTTTGTTGCTATCTAGATTTTTTTTAAACTGTGTACACATGTAAAAGCAGAGTGCAAGATGAATAACAAAAATTGCTTTATGAGTACTAGTAACTGAATATTTACTTATAATTTTTCCCCCACCATATCAAATTAATATTTCTAAAAATCTAGGTACTAATGTCTTGAGCAACTGATTAAATAAAGGCCTTAAAGGTTACTCTGGCTATTTTTATAGCCCTTGTGATTCTTAATGGCAAGATGTGGATTTAACAGTTACTAGTATTATGGGGTATTTGTATTCTTCACAGTTAATGCAGGTTTGCTTTGCATTTAGTTTAGTCATTTTCCCTGTAGATATCTCTTTGCAAAAATCCATGCAGTATAAGAACATGAGCACTTGTATCTGCATATTCTTAAGTATAGTTCTGAAGCTGGATTTCATCTGCACAAATTGATGCTGGAATAATCCCGAACTGAGTAGGAAGCATTAAAAATACTACTTTCTAATGATGTTCAAGTGCTTTTTGCCAATAATTGTATTTAAAAGGAACTTTCTGCTCTCAAGATGTAAGTGGTTGTGCAATTTGTTACATGCAATTTAGTACACATCACTGAAAACATTGATTCAGTACAGGCAGAAATTTACAGAGATAAAGTCAATAAATATTTTGTACTACTTGTAGTTGTGAAATGCATTGCTTATAATTGCTAAAATCGAAGAAGGTGGATGAGAAAAGAATTCTGAACAGTTCCAAGTGAAGCAGTGCTGTGTCTTGGAAAAAGCACAGAGATCTCAATGGTTCTTTCATGCTCTGACATCTAGAGTTGCCATCTTTCTGTCAGAAGGAGAAGGGAAAAAAGACAAGAGGAAAAAAATAAATCTTCATATGTAGAAGAGAACTTGACTCTGTGATAGAGTTCATAATCATTCTGTACTTGGAGAACAGCTCTATGACAGGGTGTAAAGTTAATTTTGTGAGAAAGTGAAGTGTGTCTCATAAGCTTGGTTGGAAGGTCTAAAAGCAGAAGTCTGCTGCTTCAAGAATTTGCTGCCACTTAATTTTAAAGTTCAAAATAACATCTTTGACCCAGATATAGGATAAGTGTTTGTGGGTTTCTATATTTTTTTCATCTCAACAAGCTGATTTTTAATGCAGTTCCTTGTTACGTAAACAACCTAACCTTTTTCACTTTTTAAAAAGTATAACAAATAAGTAGAACAACTGGCAAAGCAACTCCCTACCACGCTGTTCCAGAATAGCATTAAGCTATAATACTTCTGAAGTCTCCAAGGTAAAGAGTTTGCAGATTGAACATTTTTTGTTTTCTTAAAATGGATGGGATTAATCCTTACAAATACCTAAATCTTCTAAAAGGATATAGATATAAAAATTTAATGGTTTGGGTTTGGTTTTTTTTTTTGGTTTTTTTTTGTGTTGTTTTTTTTTTTTTTTTTGTGACATAAGATTATGTAGGTGTTGTCTTCAATTTGGTGAATAGTTAGCACTATTACTTTCCCCGGTCTCCTGTTTTTATAAGTCAGTGACTGGAAATCTGAAAAGCAGCTGCTGACTGCCTGAAAATGAGGTCTCCCTCTCTTCAAAGGCAAAGATAATTCCTAATAAGAAAGTATCAATATTCATCAAAGTCAGTGGGTGTCTTCAGGTAGGTATGGCTGTTTTTTTCCTGGGTACTTGATATAATGTCATGAGTTTGTTAGTTATGTCTCCTTTTTTAATGCTGTCCCTATCCCATCAGGAGTAAGAGTGGTTCAGGTACTATAAAATTTCAGATTTTTTAATATTAAAGAAAACGGACAATGTGGAACTTCTATTTGTATTTTACTAATGGTATCCTTTCAGGGAGACACACTAACTAGGTATAGTGTATATGAGTATCTATAATTTAGTGTAATCCTTCAAGAACCGGTCAACACAAGCAATTTCAGCAGCTTGTTTTCAGTGCTGCTTATTTGTCTGGGAAACCAGTGTCAAATACTGAGAGGCGTCTGCTCAGTTCTGTTGGGTGCAACTCCCATTTAACACTTTTGCACTTGAGGGGCTATAGGAGGTGTAAACTATTTATTTTCCTGGAGCCAGCAAGTAAAGTTTTTTGCTGGCTCTGACTTTAAATTCTGCCTTCATTTTTTTTCTCCCACTTTTTTTTTTTTTTTTTTGGTTGTTTCCCTCTTTCAAAAAGAATTGTAAATAGTTTGCATTCAGAAAACCAATGTACATTTGTTGTTAAATTCAAGGTAACTCATTTATGCTCTCTTTTTGGCAGTATTGTAGCAAACTATAGCTTTTACATTGCAAACCAGCAGAACTGCACACAATGATATGGGGATCAAAAAGCTGTTCTATAAGATTTTAATTCTGTTTTATTGGTTTGTTGGTGGAGAGGTAAAATGAGATGATAAAAATTGAGGGAGACACCAGCTTTTACTTTTTCTCTCTATTTCACTGGATTCATGGTGATGTTTCTACAGGGCAACAGAAAATCTTGTCAAATAAAATTTTATTTGTGTTTGGAATGAAGGGTTACTTTCTGTGGCTGAAGAAGCTCTGCTATTTGATATCCATTTGGGCTTTCAGTAAAGCTCAGTTGTTAACTTTGGATGTTCTGAGGGTTCCTGTGCCGTCCTCCTCTTTAAACTTGCTCAGAGAAAGCATTTTACTTACTACCTCCATATTAAAGAATTCATAAAATGTTTTAAAATTTTGCATTTTCCCTTGTATATTCTTTCTTTCTCTCCTATTTTCTGGTTCTGTTACAGCAGGATCATTTTCATTCTGGTATGCTGACCTCTTCACACACAAAATAAGTTTCTGAGTTATGTTTTACCAAGATGTTTTACACATTTGCTTCATAAAATCATGGGCACTAAGATATTGTGAAACTGAGTCCTACTTATTTCTATTTTTAAGTTCTGAAGTATTTTAAAAAGAACTGCTCAACTCATGAAAGGGTGAAAAACTGAAAGCCTTCTGTTTATCAACTTTGGGGAAGTCCCCTTTTGCTGCTTTTGTTAGTGCAATATCCTTTATTTTCTCTCATGTCCTTGCTGGCTCCTAAGGAGTTATCTTAAATGAAGACATCTGTTGAAGCCTTTGTTACAGATGGGTATTTTAATGGGCATTCCTGCAGTCCTTTTGTTTCCGTTAGCAATCGTATTTTTTGGTAGAATGACTGAAATATTTCAGAGCAGTGTAGAAATAGCTTTCTTAAAAATGTTCAATCTAAACAAAAGCGCATGTGAAATACAGTAGCACTAGAATTGCTTCTCCTAATTTAGTAAAAATAAGGTGAATAAAAGTCATGTGGGTGGAAAACTGTTTTTCTCCAGCAGGAAAATTTTGTAGGAAATTCTAAGAAACTTGCTATCTTGCATCTAACAAGTGAAAGCAATGTTGGTGCAGTTCTGTTTTGAAACCTCGTTATTGTAATAATTTAGATAAGTTTTATTTGAATAATTTATATATTCTAAAATATCTTAGTTGAAAACCTAAACTGAAGACAATTTGGCTCAACATTATAGAGTTTGTATAATTACCAGCAGATGTCAGGCTTTCACTTTCCAAAAAAACCTGATCTTGAAAAGTGTACTTTTTTGCAGTAGGATATAAAAAACTTTGACTTTAAATTTAGGTGTATAATGCTATTGTGCAGCTTGTTACCCATCAGACTTGAGAGTTTAATGAATGATTTTTCAGTGTGGTTTGTATTAAGCAGTAGTGGGCTTAAAGTGTCATGTTTTTGAGTATTTTACATATTTATGAACGCCATATATAATATGGTAAAGAGTCAAAATTATGTAAATTACATCCTTGCATTTGTCTTCTCCAGACACTAAATGTCTGGTGACATTTACGATAGTAATGTTTAGTTTATCCCTGGGATTTGACCACTTATCTGTTGCAAGTAAAAGAATCCTTACAGTTAAAGTCCGCAGTGGAGTCAGGACTCTGGGATATTATTATTGCTTCCTTTACAGACCTTTAATGGTCAAAAAATGAAGTTGCAGGTGATAAAAATATGGTACAGGGTTTTGAAATATATTTAGGAGCAATGGTTAATTATCTTGCAAGTACTTTGAAACACAATGCATTGCAAATATAAGTAAAATTTTACAGCTTCAGATTGTATGGGTAGGGGTTGCTGTAGAGCAGGACAAGATCATCTTCTTTCTGATGCTCTGCTGTTGTTGTGAATATATTTTAGGCAATTTTCAGTGCATTTGTTAACTGTTAAATGTTTCTTATAGGAAACAAAAACATTTCTCTCCTAAATATTTGGGCACTAGAGAAGGAATAGCTGCCCTTTGAAGTGGGGTGGTATTTCTATACAGATAACCGCACTGACCCCGTTCTTTAAGGTAAATGTCTGTGTTCTGAGCATCTCCCACTGCTAAGTGGGAACAGCTGCTTCCCAAGGAGACAAGATACAAGTCAGTTGTTAGTGCTGCAGCAACATGAGTCTCAAAGCAGTCCTGATTAAAAACAACAGAAAGGATTGAGCACAAAATGGTAACTGCTGCCTTGGCAGTTCTCACTGTATTAGAAATGAGCCACTATTTTTATTCTCTCCCTACCCTTTATCTACCACAAAAAAAAAGGATCAAAATAACTGGCATAAGAAAATATTATCTTCTGTGTATATGTGAAAGAAAAAGGGAGGGGTACATTTATTGGGCTCTTTTTGTACCTGTTCCAGAATGTTGTGGGGTTTTTGCCTCATGCGCAAGTACTAGGAAAGTCTTTTTGATCAAAAACAAAGGAAGGACAAAGACTAGATTTGCTCTAAATAGGGATCAATAGTGTTCATAAACCACTTTCAAAGTGCTGCATATTGAAAATGTCCAGATCAGGTATGACAGAGAATGACTTTGCGTAAAGGTAGGAGACTTGTAGGAATATCTTACACACTTTCTCCACCTCTTACACCCTGTCTCAAGAGCTAATGCCTCTGTAGCAGCAATGAAGTGGTGCAGAAGAAAAGAGGTTACTGATAAAATGCAGTTTTTCTCTGAATGAATAAAGTACAACTACTCCTTTAGTCATGCACAGAGGATCAGTTAATATCCGCCTAACACTGCCCTTAGCAGTTTGTGGTGCTCAGTATTACTTTCTTGCAGGGCTAGCATTGTTAGGTTTCCATTTCTTTCATTTGGACTTCATTCGTTCATCTCCAAATTGCAAGAAGTTCAACCAAATGGTCATGTTTAATGTCTGGGTCCAAAGCCTAAAACCAGACAAGATGGGGCATTCCACCCTGCCAGCAGCACATGCTACAATTCAAGCTACAAAGTAGCTTCTGGCAAGTTCAGTATTTCAAAGATTGCTTGACACATGTAGTACATTAAGAAACAGGTAACAGTAACCCTGTCAACTGATTAGTTTTTGTAAACTAGAACAGGTCCTTTGGAAATGTCCTGTGGTTGTGGGACTATTAGCTATAAACCTGCAGTGTGAGTGGCCAGAGGCAGTGCAGTGAAACCTCCCCAAGGCTGGGAAGGCTGGCATACACCCTATAGGGCTTGTAAAGGTGAAGGGAGAGAGCATGCCACGGTTACTGTCAGGTTGGGGTTTGGCTTTGACTCTAGAGCTCTTGTGGCTTTAGCGAGAGACTATTGGAGCAGCTCCTGCTGCTTGGTCCTGTTGCAGGGGATTTGCAGTGCTCAGTGAGATGAGCCGATGGCAGTTTGGCTCGCCTGAGCTGCTGGGATGAACTTCTGCTCCT